TATCGAGATCACGGAAGTGATGACGGACCGGCGGGACAAACTACTACTGCACAGTAAACACGCCGCTGGTGGCACAACCGGTGGCGCCCAAGGGGTGGCACGCTAGACATGCCAATGGTGGCTAAAGGCTGCAACATGAAAAAATTTCCGCTGATCACTTTCATGGCCTTTTTCGAAACCCTTTGCAACCGGACGGGGTTAACGGTTGCAACCACAAATTTCCCGAGGCATTTGTCGGCTCCCTGAGTAAATCGCTCTGACCACCTAACCTCATGGCATGCGTATGATTACCGAACGCCGCAGATAAGTACCAACCGCGTCTTTCGTACGACAACATGCTGCATGGTAAAAAATTAACAAGGCTAGTGCAAAAATATAAATCTATTAATGATATCATTACACCATCATAGATTTTTTTCGGTGCGCCGCAAGGTGGCCCTCTCGCATCGCAGCTTTCGGTTTCCAGGACTTCGATCAGACTCCCTTGAACCAAGCCTGGATTGGTTGGATTGGATTCTCAATGAGTGTGTGGCCACAGAGTGCATTGCATCTAAGGTGACAAGTGTCAATGTGAAACGGTTACCTCACCCTTTATGAGTCTTGGCAACTCTGTGCTTGATATAGGTCTTTTATCTTCTCCCTTTAACCACATCAGATGATCTGCGAACTCCGGGGCAAGCAGAGCACACAGCATGTTCCTGACTGACAGGCGGGGGTCAGAGCAGACCAATCTTGAAAGAAAAGTGACCTTTGTTACCAAAGTGTGAACCAGGGTGAAGCCACTCATGAGTACCTTCACGAGTACCTTCAGTGCACTGACTGTTCCGGGACTTCTGCGTCCAACAATCTGACCAGGAAAGCATCCAAATATCCCAGTTTGGTCATTTTGTTGATCTCTTCCAGAGTGCCTTTCCGTTTTTGTTATCCGAATTTTCCCAGCAATCCAAGGTTTCTTCTAATATTCGATTAAACAATAAAAGAGTGACAACAACTCACTTCGGAAGGCTTCCGCTTTGATGGCCTCGTCATGCATTTCATCTAGGTATGAATGGATGCACATGATTGAAGTTTACCTCGAAAAGCAGCCAGGATGCGCACAATTTTTTTGTTTGGATAATCTGGCACACGCGATCTATCGGAATCACTTGTTTCCTCGCCGGAGTCATTGGTTTGTTCAGTGGTCCGAAGAGGTGGTGGCGAAGTCGCGGATGACTGATGGCCATAAGCCGAACTACATTTCAAATGTAGTGAACGACACGTCTATCACATCCGTAATAACCGGAGTCCGGCTTGAAAGAACAATGACTTTTCCACAACAGGACGCCCATTTGCGGACAGACGCCGACTTCCGTTCCAGGTCCAATGCTATACATCATATCGGTGTCTCCGCATTCGAACGGCTACCAATAGACATAATCAAGTCATTTCCCTTTGATTATATGCACTTGGTATGCCTTGGCGTAACCAAGAATTTGCTGGAATTTCGGGCCGGTGGTCAATGGCGTCGTCCGCACGGGGGCGAGACGGCCCAAGTGGTTAGAGCGCGAATTTACTGACCGGAAGGTCCGTGGTTCGAATCCGACCTCTGCCACTCGACTTCCCCTGTCTAGGCTTGGGCAACCTGGCAGTATCCCAGCCCTCGTGCATCCTTCGGGTGGCATGGCAGCTAGGCACCAGAAGGGTGCTACAGCTGAACGCTTTCTTTTTTTTCTTTCCTCATAGATTGTTACAAACGCCAACGACGGAAATTAACCGCCGCATTTCAACTGTACACAGTCACACCCCCAGCTAATTCCAACGTGATTGCCGTCCTCTCGAGGGCAGTGGGCCGTGGAAAATCACAAAGTTTCGATAGTTTTTGCTCTACTTAGGGCCCGCGGTACTTGCAGATTTGAGTGAAACCGATGTTTACAAATATTTTCTTGGGTTATTTATTGCTGTGTATTTGTTTTTCCACCCAACGTTCCACGTTGATATGCTGACCTTGCTCAGAGCGTAACACGCGTATTGGTACAGAAGTTTTCCTATATATATGGGCCGCGGGCTGTCATGTACAATGTACATAGCCTGGTACACTTGGCGGACGATGTGAGGGTATATGGACTCTTGGATCGTTTTTCCGCATTTCCCTTTGAGTCATTTTTAGGTAAACTTAGGAAGGATGTTTCCGGGCCACGTAATCCTGCCGTTCAAATACGACGTATTGCTGAACGGTCAGCATCAGCCTCTGCTGACACACTGGACTGTTTGCTGACAGAAGACTGTAGAGGAGGTGCACCCGTTCCATCCGATGGTTTACTTTTCCGCTCTTTTTTATCTCTTGCTCTACACCAGATAGTGCAGTTGTTGTTGATAGTCACCCGTGTGTTATTGTAAAACTCACAACCCTCCATTTTCAACTTCAGAAGGTTTGATCTAGTTCGTTTTTTTTACTTTTCCCTTACAATCTCGGGATATTCTTATTTTCCGTGCTAGTCGGATGAATGAACGTGTCTTCATTCAGTCTTAAAGTCGCATTACTTGTAAATGTTTCGTGCTTCCTGTTAATGATGAATTTATTTATATTCCACTGTTACATTCATTCGAAAAATAAAACTTATCCTTGACCATCGGTTCTAAACATAGCGAAAAATTTGCTGATGAGTTTACTCATGTACCTGCTTCCCTTACAGATGTACAGTTTTCAAGTTCTTAGATGACGGACAGTTTGCGATCGGTTGCGAAGAGTGGTTCCTCAACGAAAGAACCATTCGTTGGAGGACCTGCGATGACTACAGAGCAATGGAACGCGCCCCAATAGACAAAGAGGGCATGCCTTCAAACGGCATCACGTGCCCCGTTGCAGTCATCAAGAAGTTTGGTACGCTTTACACGAAAAATCTAACAGCCTTTACAGGTCTTTAGGAGCTTGCCCTGAAGCAGTCCGGTTCCGTGCAGTGCTAAACTCCAGCGACGGCACTTCAGACACGGAGTCACAGACCTACTTTGGGTTGCATTATGGTGTCCGCGAGCGGTAATTTTTGGTAATAACTGGTCCATTTTTCAGAAAACGCAACCCAAAGTACTCGTCAACTGGTGAAGGGGTTGAGAAACACCGATCTCGGAAAGCTTCCAAAAGGTTCGCCTACGCAACCCCTCCGCGAATCTTGTCGTTACACGTTGAGTAAGTGCGCCATAATTTCAATTTGATATACATTTGAAATGTAGTTCGGCTTATGGCCATCAGTCATCCGCGACTTCGCCACCACCTCTTCGGACCACTGAACAAACCAATGACTCCGGCGAGGAAACAAGTGATTCCGATAGATCGCGTGTGCCAGATTATCCAAACAAAAAAAATTGTGCGCATCCTGGCTGCGTTTCGAGGTAAACTTCAATCATGTGCATCCATTCATACCTAGATGAAATGCATGACGAGGCCATCAAAGCGGAAGCCTTCCGAAGTGAGTTGTTGTCACTCTTTTATTGTTTAATCGAATATTAGAAGAAACCTTGGATTGCTGGGAAAATTCGGATGTACGGCTTAGATGTTTAGAGCTAGGTCTCAGTTCGGGTGCATCTACGGAACAAAAACGGAAAGGCACTCTGGGAGAGATCAACAAAATGACCAAACTGGGATATTTGGATGCTTTCCTGGTCAGATTGTTGGACGCAGAAGTCCCGGAACAGTCAGTGCACTGAAGGTACTCGTGAAGGTACTCATGAGTGGCTTCACCCTGGTTCACACTTTGGTAACAAAGGTCACTTTTCTTTCAAGATTGGTCTGCGCTGACCCCCGCCTGTCAGTCAGGAACATGCTGTGTGCTCTGCTTGCCCCGGAGTTCGCAGATCATCTGATGTGGTTAAAGGGAGAAGATAAAAGACCTATATCAGGCACAGAGTTGCCAAGACTCATAAAGGGTGAGGTAACCGTCTCACATTGACACTTGCCACTTTAGATGCTATATACGTTGTGGCCACGCACTCGAGTGTCGCAGTGGGTGTCATTGGGAAATCAATTCAGTCTTGGCCGAAAAAAATCTATGATGGTGTAATGATATCATTAATAGATTTATATTTTTGCACTAGCCTTGTTAATTTTTTACCATGCAGCATGTTGTCGTACGAAAGACGCGGTTGGTACTTATCTGCGGCGTTCGGTAATCATACGCATGCCATGAGGTTAGGTGGTCAGAGCGATTCACTCAGGGAGGTATTCAGTTAGCCGACAAATGCCTCGCCAAATTTATTGCATGGGAGTCCTTGATCCGTGAGTTTGAAGCGGGATTTCGGCTAGATAGAGGCTGTGTTAACCACATCTTGACACTCCGTCAAGTGTTTGAGGAATGTGTTATGTACAGGCGATGCAAATTTTTGATATTCCGTGACTTTAAAGGTTCGTTCGACTCTGTGGATCGGTCATTGCACTTAAGCACACTTCCTCAACAGGATAGTCGCCATAAGTTCGTGAACATAACGCGGCCGCCATATTCACGTTATTCAGTGCGTATTGTGCGCTCTTCAAAAACCCATACAAAAATATGCCCGACAAGGTTGCCCACTTTCACTGTTCAACTTCGTCATTGATGAAATGATGTGGCGAACGCTGGAAGAACTTGAAAACTTCGGTGTTCAAATTGTTGCTAGTGAGAACCTTGTCAGTCTGGAGTCCGCAGACGACATCGCGAATTCACGAATAGACCGGAGTTTACCGTGGTGTAACCGCTTGCGCACCTCAGCGACCCATTGAGCTATACTGGGAGTGTCCGCGCGACACTCAGTCTCTCATACCAGTTTGGTCAATGGTTAGATGTCTGACAAACACACTCTTCTGGCCCTCCAGGTTGGGGGTTGGAACATGTGGCGACTTGTTCCGTAGAAATGGTAATGCATTTGCATTTCCCCGCCAAATATCGCTGCCTTGCGGTTAGGCTTTTGAGCCAAAGGCTTTGGTGGAGAACCCTAATCGTCCTCCTGTCTAGGTGTGGGCGCCCTGGCAGTATCCCAGCCCTCGTACAACGATGACATACACAACTAACAATACTCTCATACCATATCGGCCGTCGCCTGGTGCCATCAGCCGGGTCGCCTTACTCGCTGCATACAGCAGGGCGGGTAAGCGAAAACATGCTACTGCTGACGCCTC